CCTTTACCTAAACCAAAACACTTCTAGATTTTTGCTCTTATTCCTATATACATTCGCAGCAATTGGAGAGCTCCTAAAAACAGATTACATCAGAATATCTGGCATTGGAATCCCGGCATCAACATATTTCAAATCAGATTTATTTGATTCCATAGATTCTGCATTACTTATAGTATGACTTCCCCAGGTCATTCAACTAACTTTACTGATTCCTGATGAATATTTTATTCACTGGATAAAAATAAGTGGTACATGATTAAGACAAGCTTCTGAAAATACTTTTGAGCATAGGTTACTACCCAGACAAAGGAAATATGAGTCCATACCTACCTCTCAACCATGAATGGTTGAAAGACTATGATTGATTCTATGTACAGCCTTTCTAGACCTTGATTTTCCAGTATGGAAGTGGTGAAAATAAATTCTGCTTTCATCGCTTCATACAAACAATATGATGTATGAATTTGATCATTCCTTATATAAATATTATCAATATAATGATAATGATCTATTTAAAATAAAGCCATATCATTGTTTTTGTTGTTTTTACTTTTATTTTTGTTTGTTTGTGAGATAGTCTTATGCTATTGCCGGGACTAGAGTACAGTAGCGTCATCATAACTCACAGCTGATCCTTCTGCCTCAGCTTCTCAAACAGCTGAGACTACAGGGGTACACACCATGACTAACTAATGTTTTCAAGCAATCCTCCTCTCTCCTTCTCCCAAAGAGCTAAGATTACAGGTGTGAGCCATCACACCTGGCCTGGAGTTTAGTTTAAATATAGCTTTGAGTTTTGTTTTTTCCCCTATTAAAGTCAAAAGCCATGTTGTTATATACATTAGGAATATCTTAGAATGTGTTATAGGATATATTAGCAATACACTGAAAACCTTTTTATTTTATTTTAATGTTTTTTGAGACAGAGTCTCACTTTGTCATCCTGACAAAGAATGGAGTGGTAAGAATGGAGTGGCTTCATAGCTCACAGCAACCTCAAACTCCTTAGTTCAAGCAATCCTCTTGCTTCAGCCTCCCAACTATCTGGGACTATAGGTGCCCGGCCACAACACCCAGCTATTTTTAGACACGAGGTCTCACTGTTGCTCAGGTTGGTCTCGAACTCCTGAGCTCAGGCTATCCACCCATTTTGGCCTCCCAGAATGCTAGGATTACAGGCATGAGCCACTGCATCTGGCCTTTTATTTTTATTTGTAAAATTTTATTTATTTATTTTTTTTTTTTTTGAGACCGTCTCTATTGTCTCAGGCTAGAGTGCCCTGGCCTCAGTTTAACTCACAACAACCTCAAGGTTCAAGTGATTTTCAGCCTCCTGCAGCCTCTTGAGCAGAAAATATTTTTTTAAAAGGGCAAGTGGCAAGTGAGTTATTAATCTAAATAATACTCACTATCCACAGTTTTTATCAGTACAACCCACTTTTTCCTGGGAGTGCCTGGTTATCATGAATTGACTTTTTTTTTTTTTAAAAAAACAGTGGTATTGAAGGAATAGGCTAAGTATTATTTATTTATCCTTAGTGGAACTTTTCCCCACTTTTTTTTTTTTCCTTGAGGCAGATTCTCACTCTGTTGCCTGGGCTAGAGTGCATGGCCTCACTACAACTTCAAATTCCCGGGCTGACGAAATCCTGCTTCAGCTTCCCAAGTAGTTGGGGCTGTAAGCACATGCCTCCATGTCCAGCTAATTTTTCTGTTTTTTGTTTTTATTTTTTTATTTTTGCTTTCAATTTCAGCTGGCTTTCACTTATCTTACTTTGAAAGTTATTTATTTATTTATTTTTTTTTTTTCCTTTAGTGATTCTCTCGCCCTTTGCCTCCCAAGTAGTTGGGATTATAGTCGCCCACCACAGTGTCCGGCTTTTTTTTTTTTTTTTTGTAGAGACAGGGTCTCACTCTGACTCATTCTAACTCATGCTGGTCTTCTGCTGGTCTCGAACTCAGCTGAGCTCAGGTGATCCACTTGCCTCGGCCTCCCATAGCACTGGGACAACAGGTGTGAGCCACCATGCCTGGCCTAATTTTTCTGTTTTTAGTAGAAATGGGACTTTACCTTTGTTTAAGCTAGTCTCATTTTTAACCACAAGTTGATCCTCCATTCTCATTCAGCCTCCCAGAGTTCTACAATTACAGGCACTAGTGCTACCATGTCTAGCCCCAATTTATCTTTTTTATTTTTTTGCAGTTTTTTGGCTGGGGCTGGGTTTGAACCTGCCACCTCTGGTATATAGGGCTGGCGTCCTACTCCTTTGAGCCATAGGCACTACCCCCCAATTTATCTTTTGTCAGATTTTCATATTGTTAGTATTTCTGTAATCAAACTTCCCTTGGTCACAAAATGCTTCTTTTCTTGGTCTTTGGATTGAATACACTTTATGTCCCAGGTGGCTATATCAGAGTGGAAGTAAACAACAACATTTTAGTTCATTTTATCCTTTTTGTTGTGAAGGTAGTATATCACAGAGCCCATTTGTCCTCTAAATTCATCCTTTTATGAAAGAAATTAACAATCCTAGCTCACTCTCACTGGTATAACAACAATAGCATAAACATTTAGAATAGCATTCTGTATCAGACATAACCTTCCTTCCTTCCTTCCTCTCTCCTCTTTTCCTTTATTTCTTCTCCTTTCTCCCTCCCTTTTTTCCTTCCTTCCTTTTTTCTTTTTGACAGAATCTTCCTTTGTTTCTCCAGGCTGGAGTGCCCCAGACTCAGCCTAGCTCACAGCATCCTCAAACTCCTGGGCTCAAGTGATCCTCCTTGATATGCTAATGATATGCTAATTTTTCTGTTTTTAATAAAGCTGCAGTAGATTTCTTGAGCTCAGGAGTTTGAGACCAACCTGAGCCAAAAGCCAGATGACATCTTTAAAAATAGCCAGGCATTGTGGCAGGCGCTTGTAGTACCAGTTACTCCAGACGCTGAGGCAAGAGGATCTTGAGTCCAGGGTTTGAGGCCGCTGTGAGCAATAATACTGAGGGTGACTGAGTGAAACTGTGTCTCTAAATGAATGAATTTAATGAATGAGATGGGTGAGCTCAAGTAATCCTGTTTCCCAGAGTGCCAGGATGACAAGTGTGAGCCACCTTGCCTAGCCCAGACATTTAATTTTTTTTTTTTTTTGAGACAGAGTCTCACTGGGTCCCCCTTGGTAGTGTGCCATGGAGTCTTAGCTCACAGCAACCTCAAACTCTTGGGTTCAAGTGATCCTCTTTCCTCAATCTCCCAAGTAGCTGGGACTACAGGCTTGGGCCACAAAGCAGGTGAGTTTTAGAGAAGCGGTTTTGCTCTGGTTCAGGGTGCTCTGGAACCTGTGAGCTCAGGCATCCACCCACCTCAGCCTCCCAAGTGCTGGGATTACAGGTGTGAGCCACCATGCCCGGTCCAGATATTTAATTATTCTATACAGTACTCATTAACTTACTCCTATGACAACTCAGTGAAGTAACTATTTTTATCCTCTCTTTTACAATCCAGTAGATTAAGATAGAGAGAGGTGGGAGGCGCCTGTGGCTCAGTGAGTAAGGCGCGGGCCCCATATACCGAGGGTGGCGGGTTCAAACCCAGCCCCGGCCAAACTGCAACAAAAAATAGCCGGGCGTTGTGGCGGGCGCCTGTAGTCCCAGCTACTTGGGAGGCTGAGGCAGAAGAATCGCCTAAGCCCAGGAGTTGGAGGTTGCTGGAGCGACTCCGCTGCACTCTACGAAAAAGTGAGACTCTGTCTCTACAAAAAAAAAAAAAAAAAGATAGAGGTTAAGTTACTTCAGAAGATCACATAGCCAGTGGAACTAGAAATCTAATCTAGGCTGACTTCAGAAGTTATCACCCTAGGTTATCATCTATTATTCTTAAAGGACTCTCAATAGTCTCAGAGAAATAAGCTAAAATGAAGAAAAGGCAGACAGATGGCGAAATTATATTGGCAATAGATTGGGAGAGGAGCACTGAAAAATTGTCGGTGGAGGTGACTCATAAAGGGATGTAACCTGCGAGAAGACAAACTGATGAGGACATGACTGTATCTCACGTCTGGGATCTCTTGTGACCGAAAGTTTTTTGGAAATGAACCTTACAAGGTAAACCAAGGGAGTCATTCGCTGCCTTTGATTTTATTCACATCTAGAAAAAACAGTGATTGTAGTTGAATTTAAGTTAGCCTCCTTAGGACTGTAATTTTACTCTATAGTATTTACAGCATGTTCGCGTAAAAATTGAAAAGCATGAAATATCTCATTTCGCTCTCACAGCAACTTCGGAATTATATTGTCTATCTTTTTCGAAACAAAGGCTCAGACGAAGTTTAGTAACTTGCCCAAGGTTTACACTGGTTTCCAAGCGGAGAACCGACTGTATGTAGCCTACCTATGCCAAGATAATTTATGGTACTGTCTTTACGTTCACATTTAAGGGGCTTGTCTCCAAATCTCTGCATCCCAGAGGGAAGGATCACGGCAAGAGAAGGTTCTAGGCGGTGGTCAGAAAGGCTGGGTAGGAGGCGCAGAAGCGCGGCTCGGATCCGCAGTCGGGATACCGAGCCCCAAAGGCTTGGGGGGTTCTCATCATGAACCCTGATGAGTTGAACCCTTTGAACCCAAGCGCGGACTCATGGGACCAGCCGGGGCAGAGTGAGGGGGCGGAGGGCGTACAACGGAAGGGACTCATCTCGCGGTTTCGAGTTGGAAACCCACCTCGCCACCCCCCACCCCACCCGTTTCCCTTTCGCTGTGAAGACGGTTTGGGGGCGGGTGGGGATGCGCGTCCTCTGAGCGCTCTCGTGCTCCCCTTTCCCTCCCAGCGCGCGCGTCCTACCCCGCCTCCCTTCCGCCCCGGGCCTGCGATGGCTGCGATCGCTGACCGGAGCCAGGAACGCGGGTCTCGACGCAGGTGTCAGATCCGCGGCCTGGCCCGGCCCCTCCCTCGGTCGGCCGCCGCCCCCCTCCCGCCGTGCCGGGTGGGCGGAGCCGGGCGCGCGCTGGTCCTCGGCACGCGGGCAGGCGGCGCGCGGCGCCTCGGTCTGGGGGAGCGCGGGGCGGTCTCCGCCGGCGTCGCGCGCGCTGTGTGTGAACGGGGTCGCGCGCGCGCGCGACAGGCGAGTGAGGGAGCGAGGAGCGGCCGGGTGTGAGAGTGTGGGAGTGTGTGTGTGGGGGGGAGTGCGGGTGAGGGAGAGGCCGGCCGACCGCGAGGCTGCGAGAAAGTGGGCCAGCGTGCGAGGACGCCTGGCCTGGCCGCGGGAGCCGCGGTCGGCGGAGGAGAAAGGCGGCTCCCGGCATCCCGACCCCCTCCCCCTCCTCTCCTCCGACTTCCAGCCGGCCCGGCGGCGCGCGCTTCCTCCGAGGCCCCAGCCGGGACCCGCCGGCCGAAGGCGAGGGAGGAGCCGCCAGAGCCAGGTGAGCGGTCTGGTCGCTTCCCTTCCCGGGGCAGGGGAGTGAGGCGGAGGCGCGCCCTCCCGACTAGGCGAGTTCGGCGGAATGGATTCCGAGACGAGGGCGGCTCGGCCCGGGCAGGGAGGGGGGCGGAGCGCGCCCGGGGCCCGGGGCTTGAGAAGGCCGGTGGTCTCTCGGTGCCGGAGTCGGTGGGGAGCGAGGCAGGACCTGGCCCGCGCGTGTGCGGGGAGTGGCTTGCTGGTACCGTGTGCGTGAGACTGGGAGGGAGGCGAGACTGAGAGGGAGGCGGCGACCTGGGCGTGGAAGAAGTAAGGTCTCCCTTGGGGTGAGGGGGTGTGGTAACCCTGAGAATGTGTGCTGGAGCAAAACCTGCCGGCTGCCCGCCTGCCCTTGCGAGTGTGGTAATCCCCACCCCCTGCATCAGGTTCCGTGGTGTGACCGGGGGACGAGGATGAAGTGCCGCTCGTCCTCTAGTTACACAGTACTGTTTTCAGTTCCATGTTTTTTCCCGTACGTGTATATTTCAGGGAGTGTGATGGTATTCCTCATTTTCCTTTGACAGCCCTCTGACTTAGAAGGGGGTGACCAAATAATTGCTTGCCTAATTTGGATTTTGAAATTTGACCATAATGTAAATATTTCTCCCCAAAATACTCCACACAGGGGTTGATAACTTATAGTATTAATTTATCCTCAATTAATAATTCCAGTGTTTTGTCCTATTTGTGTTTATGAATAGATAGGGATGTTAATTTTTTTAAACTTTTTTATTTTCCAGCTTATACTCTGTATATTGGACACTGAGAATGGGATTATTATAGTAACCAAGGTGAATGTAGTTCTTTCAATGTATTACTTTCCCATTAATTTATATATATTGTTCCCACATTTGTGGAGTTGCGTTAAATTCTAAATCTATAAGAAAGAAAATAGGCGGCTTAAATACTTTTCTTTTTTTGTGTGTGGGGTTAATTCTCTCTCACAATTTTGGGTAGCTTAAAGGTCATTTTTTTGTTTTTTGTTTTTTTTTAAATATTCATTTGAAAAGCAAAACAACTCTGAAATTCCAGTCATGGAGATTCAATATTTATTTCTTAATATGTAAGCCTCTAATTAAAAAATTTCTCATAGTTACATTTCTGATGGTTACTATGTGTTATTTGGTTAGTGTGTCAAAGAGGAGGATACCTATTTTTGAGATAGTCTTCTGTTTATTCCCTTCTATTTTAGTTCTGTTAATTTTCATCTTTCATGTCATTGATTTAGTTGATTGTTTGGCACCATAGCTGTGGATGTTTTTTTAATTTTTTCTCTGTCTCCTTATTTTTCTGTCTTGTCTTCTCTTACCCCTACCAGGTGCTGGAGACTCCTTGACAAGGAGGGGGGCAGTCTGTGATTCTTAGAAAAGAGTGGAAAAGGGGAATGCACATTCAGTCACATTTAGTTCTCTACACACTCAAGAGCCACTTTTCTTTCCCTACAGGGGTTAAAGAGTTGACAGTATATATATGTAACCTTTAGCTCATTGGCTGCAAGCTACAATTTGACTTACCTTAGTTTTTACTGGATAGTGTGTGTTTATTTATTTGAGACAGTCTTGCTTTGTTGCTGAGAGGGAGCCTAGCTTACAGCAAATTCAAACTCCTGGGCTCAAGCAGTCCTCTTGCCTCAGCCTCCTGAGTAGTTGGGACTACAGGCATATGCCACCACACCTGGCCAGTTTTTCTATTTTTAATAGAGATGAGGGTCTTGATATTTGCAGGCTGGTCTAAGGCTGGTCTCAAACTCTTGAGTGCCAGTGGTCCTCCTTCTTCAACCTCCCAGAGTGCCAGGATTATGGGCCATAGCCACATTTCAGACTGTGGATAGCTTCTTAATGTTTCCTATTTTTCTTGGAGTCCCTATTGAATTCACTCCAGTATAGTATCTGGGAGTGGAGGAGAGAGTGACAACAAGAAAATTATCTCTTAACTTTTCTCTCTCTCTCT